GAGGGGGTGTGAACTGGAGGAGGCCCCAGGGTCGTCTCTGGCCACGGATCGGGGGGGGGGAATTGGGGAACCCTCCCTACCTGCGCCCCCCCAGAAGCTCGCTCCTTCCTCACCTTGCGCTGCGCTGGGGGAACAGGGACTGAGGGACTCGCTATTTTTAAAGCCCCGCCAGCGTCCGGCCAATCAGCGTGCAAGAAGGAGGAGTGGCGGGTGGGGCAGCCAATGGAAACGCTGCTTTGAAGAGACTCCACTCACCCCCAGACCCACCCCGGGGCAGCGGCTCCGGGCACGGGCTATGGGGAGCCTCCGAGAAACGGTGCCGAGAATGGGGAAAAAGAGCAATTCTTTGCCAGGTTCAGCCGTCACTAGTAATTAGTAGGGCAGGAGTTAGTAATTAGTGACGTGGTTTGGCGGCTGGAAGCCCCAAAGTGCTAAACCGTACTAAGATTGGGACTGGGGCTGAGGAATACAGTGATTTTCCTCTGTGGGTGGTGAGACCGCAGCCCGTCTCGTTCCACCCGGCCCCAGCACTGCTGTTTTGTGTGGAAATCACACCATTTCAGGGAGCCTTTCACGAGGCCATAAAGCAAAATTTCACACACCCTCTGTCATGCTTTTCTGGGACATTTTGGGTGGAAACTCTGTAATTTTGAGTCCCCAGCGGCTGTGATTGAAATCCCCTTCCCTCCCCCGCGCAGCTGTGGGTCCCTGGGGAGCCAGGGCCTGTGGGCTCCTTCAGGGGGCTTTGGGGAGGAATATTAATTGTTTCGTCTAAATAAGTAAGTTTTAATTGGAGCGAAGTTGTAGGCCACCATGCCCTGAGGCAGGGGAGTTCTCCTGCAGGTTTTGGTAGGAAATCAAGCACATTAAAGGAAGGAGCCTTTAACGGGCCTGGTCCTGGGAGGGAGGGTTTTGCTTCTCAGGAGCTCAGTGCGTTTCATGGGGGGTATAGGATCCACCCAGACACCCCATAAACGCTGCCAGTGTTTGTGCCAGGTGTCAACGCACCTGCGACAGACACAGCCTGAAACCACCCTGGTTATTGTGGTAATTAAGCACACTCAGTGTGCTTGAAATAAACACTGGGGAACACTCCAGCCTTGTTTGTACTAAACTGTACAGCCAGATGGAGCCCAGAAAAAACAGGACAAAGAGATAAGAATATGGGAAAATAAGCCTGTGCAAAGAGCTGTTTGTCACGGTTAACAATGATTAATAACTGTTAGTGGGGGTGTCAGGCAGTAGGAAGGGTTCTACCCAGCAGCACCTCCTCGGGGGGGTCAAGATTTGGGGGGCTCCTGAGAGCCCCCATGGGCAGGAAAACACAGGGGGAGGGGGAGGGCCCCAGCCACCCCTTCTCCCACCATCAGCACCCCACAGGGGCTGCCAGGGCTGGGGGGAGAAGACCCCGGGGGGGAAAACCACCCCCTCAAAAGTTCCCAAAAGCAGGATGGAAAGTGCCCCCTGAGGCCGAGGAGGGGACAGGGCTGCCCCCAGCAGGAGAGAAACACCCATAGAAATAAATAATGTTTTAATAAACAACACAAAACAGAGAAAAGAAAACATACAATACAAAACCCAATACCAAAACGCCTCAGCATGCTACAGACTCTTGGTCTCATGGAAGCACCACAAGGGCCACTTCACCCCCCGACTCTGTGGCCCCTCTGCCCTGCCCAGGGCTTTCTGTACCTGTCACATCTGTGAGCAGCCGCTCCAGCTCCAAGGCCAAAGCTTAAAGAACGTTTTCAATTTCGTTTCTGTTGTCATTTAGGCCAAATTGGCCAATGACACGATGACAGATGCTCTCCCCCACCTCTCACTCCAAGGAGAGGAGGACGAGAGCGAGCTGTGAGTTTAGAAGGAGCTACTACAATGAAAAAAACCTGATTTAGAACATACAAGGTATACAAAATTCTATCAAGGTCCCAGGATGGCATCACCAGCAGCACTGGAAGTCCCAGACTGGACTCAGCCATAAATGGGAACCACATTCCCCATCTGGAGTCAGGAACGCATGGATTGGGATCAAAGACAGACGAACAGACAGGGTCCTCCTCAGATGTCGGCCATCAAAGAACGAGTTGACCCTTTAGACCCTCGGCTTTTCTACTGAGCACGGGGCAGATGGGATGGAACCCCCCCTTGGTCAGTTTTGGGGCCCCCATCCCGCCGTCTCCTCCCCATAGACATGACCCCTCTATGCTCTTTTGCTTCCAACCCTCCAACAGGGCAAATCACAGAGTTACCTTGGTTGTTACAGCAGCAATCATAAGCCAGAGCCCCTCTGCACCCCAGTCCTTGGCATTAACTATCAATATAGGTCTTTTCACCTCAAGAGTGAGAGCAGCGTGTGTTTAAACAACGTGCTGTTAATTTCAGAGAGCAGCAGAGGATTAGCTAAAAAATAAAATTATTGAACACAGAGTTGGTGCTGTTCTACCTCAAATTCGGATATATGTGATTTGTGACACAAGCAAGGAGAGCGCTGGGATGGTCTCAGAGAGGAGAAAGAAATCAGTTCCATGCTTGAGGTCCCAGCCCAAGCCAGCACACAGCAGCTCCCACCACATCTCCTGACCGGCAGGACCAACCCAGACGAGATGGAAGGACATCCCTACACCACTCCCCACTGCTGGAACAGGTGAAGCTGTGAGTCCTCAGCCTGGGGAAGGTCCTTCCTCCATCACCTCTCTTACTTCAGCCCTTGGGGCTTTTGCAGATGTATGGCCGGAGCTGTGAGCAGTCGCTGGAACAGGTGAAGCTGTGAGTCCTCAGCCTGGGGAAGGTCCTTCCTCCATCACCTCTCTCACTTCAGCCCTTGGGGCTTTTGCAGATGTATGGCCGGAGCTGTGAGCAGTCTGTACTCCCCAAAACATGATTGAACAAATACACACACTCTGCCTCGCCACGCACCTCAAACCTGCAACAAGCAGCACAGACACCGCTGGGACCATGGGGGACCCTGTTGTCCCCTCAAGGCACCAGGAGGAGACAAGGGCTGCCTGCAAGGGACAGCCCCAGCACACACCTCCCACCAGGACCCTGCCCGTCCCACCACAGGACGGTCTCCCCACGGCCCCGGCTCCCAACAGGACTCACGTCTGGTTGAAGCTGCTGCCGTCCACCCACTCCAGGTGCTCGCCCCGTCTCCGCAGCCCAATCCAGGGATCCGTGTCACCTTTGAGAAGCGAGAGGAACCGCTGGGCAGGAAGGAGAGAAGCCAACAGTCAGGAGATGCTCCCAGCTGCAGGCTGGTCCCTCTCCCAGCCCTGGGATGGCAGCAGCTCCCACCCCACGCCTGCTCCAACAAGCTCCAGAGCTGCTGCAGGAGATCACCAGCCCACACAGTGCTCCTGGTCCTGCTCTGACACAGCTCTGCTCCCATCCCACGAACCCCACCAAACCCCCACGCACCCACAACAGCCCCTCACTCACCATTTCCCACTCCCTCCTCAGCACGGCCAGCGAGGCCCCACGCGAGGAGCACTGCTCCTGGCTCCACTCCCAGCTCCCCTGGTCCCTCGAGAGGTAGTAGCAGACATTGTGGTACCCGACCCAGCCATCAGGACACGCCAGCACCGGAGCCACAGGCACAGCTGGATCCCCTCCACATGTTCTTGCTGGAGAGGGAAGGGGAGAAGGGCAGAGGATTGGGCTGTGCAGGGACCAGGGGACACAGCTCCGTGGGGCAGGGAAGGAGGCAGCCGCTCCTCCCTTACCTGAGAGCACAGCAACAGCCACGGCCAGAGCCAGGACCAGAGCCACCAGCACAGACACCACCAGGACCCTTTTCCTTCTGCCTGTAGCCCCAGGCACCTTTGGATGGGGGGAAGCTCCTCCCTCCTGTGGTCTCAGGGGCACCTCCACATTCTCATTCCTGCAGCTGAACCCTTTCCTCTCCTCCATTTCAACATCGGAAGTGAAATCACTTTGCTCACAAGCAGCAGGATCTTGCCTCCTTCTAGCACGGCTTGGATCCAGTTGTTCCATCGCTGCCAGGAGAGAGCAGAGAACGTGTCTCAGTACACCAAAATGAGTAATTCTTTTATCTAGCACCAGGCCTGGCTTTTGCAGAGAAGCCAGGACCACACGGGGTCACCCAGGCTCAGGAAGGCGATCCCCATCGTGTGAGCCGATGCAGGCAGGACGCAGGAACAACCACAAAACCACGGATTAAGGGCAAAGAACAATTTAATGTCAATACCTTATGGATCGGAGAACCTCTGAAGCAGCACCCAGGCAGAGGCAGGCAAGCAGGGGATGCAGGCACCGTGGAGTGAGAGTCCTTATTAGGAAGAGAGTCCTTGTTAGCAAGGGAGGGAGGGAGTGAGGGAGCCCCCACTTGCTGCTCGGGCCTGTATTTCAAGGATTCTGGCAGGCAGAGTTTTCTGCTGGGCTTTGATCTCTCCAACAGCAGGGCAGGAATCCCAGGCGTGTTTGATAAGGTGCCCCTGAGTCCATCCCAGGCCTATGTTATCTGAGTGCAGATGTTCTACTTGTTGAGCACACAAAACTAAGCAACAATTAGTGTGATAGGTGTGTTTTCCAGCACCCCACATGCGAGTCACTTGAGCGTATTTACAGTCCTCCTCTCCAATCTTCCATTAGTTTCCCACATTCCACCCCCTCGCTCAAGAGACCACTTCTGCTGGGGTTTACAAAGCTGGAGACATTCATTTAGGCTTGCAGGGTGCAGTACAAACTAGCTTAGAGAGGCATGTGATAAACATATATAGAAAAAAGAATAGACACATCTTTACGGTAATGCTCTGTAAAGGTGTCCTGCTCCTCCTCTCCAGGAATTAAACCCCTCAACCAGCAGGGCACCACCAGGAGGTTGTTCCGTTTGAGACATTCAGCCCTGGAGAATGTTGAATGTTGTGCTCTGGGCTGGCTGTTCCATCAGTTGCGTTGAAGCAACGTGTTTTCAAAGTTGAAGCAACGTTTCTGGTGTCTGGGGAGGAAAACGTTGACTGTCAGTGAATTTGTAATGTTCATTGGCACATGGCCGTTACCTGCTCAGAAAAAAACAGCAATGAGTCATTAATATCAAAGACACTTAGCACAGCATAATTCTGTATCAGACATGGTGCAGTTGATGCGCCACTGAAACAAGCTGTCTACAGATCTCCAGCTGTTAATGTTCCCTTAGTATTAAATGCAGACAAGTTAGTTGCAGTAGATGCTAATCAAATCTGAGTGTTTACACGTTGATTTTGCAGAGATGTATCCAGGGCATGCGCTTGTAGTACCAGGCTACAAAGCATGATGAGCCAACCTGTGACGGGGAGGAAAACAGCAGTGACATGTCCTCCCAATGATACATACGTGCTGCTTCAGCTCCTTCAGCTACTGTTACTTTGGGTTTGATAACCTGATGTGGGGTAATCGCCCACACGGATTGTAGAGCTATGGCTTGTGCCTTTTCAGAGTGAACTTCAATTAGATGTTGGGTTTGCAACACCAATAACAGCATTCCAATGCTATCTCCTCTAGATGAGGCACAGGTATTCACCAAAGACACCTGAAATACAAAAACTCGAGAATTTGATATTAACAAAGGGTGTAAAACAAGAGGAGAAGTTGGGTTATGATGTATAGCAGAACCTTGTAATGCCTCGGACCAAAACCCTACAGGTTCTTTCTGATTTTTCATCCCTGTCATCTGCCACAATCCTGAGACTGTATCATCTGGAATTGTTACTAATTCAAATGAATATCCTTGCTTAGGAGTGTATAATTGTGCATGCTCAATCAAAGCATCTTTGCAGGCATCAAAGGCTTCTTGTTGTTGCTTGGTCCCCTGCCAGACAACTTTCTTCCTAGTTAATTTCCGCCAAAGGCATATTAATATGACCAAATGTGGTGTAAAAGTTCTCCAGTCCCCTAAAAGTCTTCCAAAGGTCTGTAACTGTTTTACTGTGATTGGTACAGGAAATGGCTGCTTTGCTTGCTGTACCTGATTTGGTATTTCTCTGATTTGTCCATGCCAAACGATTCCCAAAAATTGTAGAGTAGCACCAGGGCCCTGTATTTTCTTTTAATTATTTGCCCAGTCTCGGTCCTGCGAATGAACTTTTAGTAATTCAGCAGCTGCTTCACTTTCTTGTTGCAATTCCACCATAATCAATTGGTCATCACTATAATAGTAAACAGTGACTGTACCCGACCACGCTGCTAAATCAGCTGCTGTCCTTAGGTGGCAAATGGAGGGACTGAGTTTGCATCCCTGAGGCAATTCTTGTAAAGTATATTGCTTTTGTTGCCGGGCAACATCTTGCACTGAGGTGTCAGGCAGGGTGGAGGAGGGGGGAGGAGTTGGTGGTGAGGCTGGGGGTGGTTGGCTTTTTTGTGTAAACGCTAACTTTTGCCACCAGGGAAACATTTCTGATGTTGTGATCCCATCTATCCCTGTTTTTGGGATACCGGCTCGTACAAAATCATTCCACATTTGTTTCCTTGTCACCTGTGCTGTAACTCCTTTCCATTTTGCTGCCTCTCCTTTGTTCACCACCCGCACAGAGGGTCCTGAAATCACAGCCCTGGTTCCCCTCAAGGTGTTTGCTGGGGCGCCTACATCACCCACAGCATTTGTCACTGCTGGTATAATCCCGGGGTTTAGTGAGGCAGGCGCTCCTCTCAAAAACTGAATTTTGATACTTTTGGTCACTGCTACACTGTCTGGATTGGATCCTGTAACTGACACATGAGCCATCCTCATCTGCTGCACCAAATTAATACCTTCCTCCATTATACACCAGTTTCCAAGGGACAACACAAATTCAACAGGTTCTGTATCTGCTGCTAAAACTGCTGCCCACAACCACTGCTACGACTTCGGGGCAACAGTGTCTCGCCTGTCAGGACTTCTGACATTTTGCAGCTGAGCACATCCTTGGTCTACCTGATCATCATTGGCTCTAGGGCTCAGAAAATCTTTTTCACTCACTGATAAGTGGATAGAAGCAGCTCCACTATCCCATGCTTGCAAAATCCATGACAGTACACCTCCCCCACTCCTTTGCTGATAGGTCTGTAGAAATTCCCTTAACTCTTTCAGAGTGCAAGTGCTAGTGATCTGCACTCCTCTGTCTGCTCCTTCCTGCTCCCCTCTCATTGGTATGAGGGGTTGTGCTTTCACCACCTCAGTGCTTTTTAAGCCCAGAGCAAATTCAAACTCAGTCTCAGAGTCTGAGGATTCACTCCAAATATTTTCATGCCCTTCCTCGGGATCCCATGACCGGTTTGTAGTGCGAGCATGAACTTCAGAAATCGAAAGCTTACTTTTCCCATATTTATCCCTTTGTTTATTAACAATACATGCTACCAACCGGTCTACATTATCTTGCAGCTGATAGCACCTCTCTGCTTGAACAGCAATTACTTCTTGTGCAATCACCTTTGCACCTTGCAAACTCCTGTTTTCCTTTTCCAATTCTCTCACTTTACCACACAATGCAATAACTTCACGGTCAAGAGCTCTCAGTCTGGTAGCTAGCAGCCACCCCAATCTACCCGCTAATTTGCGAGAAGAATCTGATGCCGCTTTCCACGGCAACCCATGCATGGCCGTTTCAGTGCTCTGGGGGGTAATCACCGCGCCGTCATCTGTTTCAGGCCATGCCTCCGGCGGAGCCAATTTAGCCAAAAAAGTCGCCACGGGGGTCCAGTGCTCCATACTGAGCCACCCTGGAATAGGGGGAGTCACCGTTGTGGCCTCCCCAGTCCGCCGCTTTCCTATCAACCATGGCATGGGTGTTCCTGGAGCTGCTGACTGCGCCAAATGTGTGAGCCAATGCAGGCAGGACGCAGGAACAAACACAAAACCACGGATTAAGGGCAAAGAACAATTTAATGTCAATACCTCATGGATCGGAGAACCTCTGAAGCAGCACCCGGGCAGAGGCAGGCAGGCAGGGGATGCAGGCACCGCGGAGTGAGAGTCCTTATTAGCAAGAGAGTCCTTGTTAGCAAGGGAGGGAGGGAGCGAGGGAGCTCCCACTTGCTGCTTGGGCCTGTATTTCAAGGATTCAGGCAGGCAGAGTTTTCTGCTGGGCTTTGATCTCTCCAACAGCAGGGCAGGAATCCCAGGCGTGTTTGATAAGGTGCCCCTGAGCCCATCCCAGGCCTATGTTATCCGAGTGCAGATGTTCTACTTGTTGAGCACACAAAACTAAGCAACAATTAGTGTGATAGGTGTGTTTTCCAGCACCCCACATGCGAGTCACTTGAGCGTATTTACAGTCCTCCTCGCCAGTCTTCCGTTAGTTTCCCACAGACACTGCAGCAGGAAAAATAAGATTCAAGCAGGACTTGGAGTGTCTGTGTGTGTCTCTGTTGTTCTTCCCAATTTAGTGCTGCATTCCCGAGATGAGTCAGAGTCACTGCCAGGCTGTGACAGGCAGTCGATCAAAAACCAAAGAGAGGAGGCTGTTAACCCTTTCCTGGGATCCTGCCACAAGAGAGGTTTGTTGTTAAAGAGAAGATGCTGAGGAGGCAGAGGTTCTCAGCGCTTCCATCACCTCCCTCTTCACCAGCACTCCAGGCTCCGGGAGCAACTGGAGCAAAAGCCGTGGCCGTTCTCAGTGACAGCCCCCAACCCCTGCCTGTTCCGAGAGCGGGACGCCCCCAACCTACCCCCATTTTGGCCTGGGGGGGGAGGGTGTTTCCCCGGTTGGAGGCAGAGCCAGGGGATGCCGCTGGCACGGAGCCCTCAGCCAGGGATGCTGCCCGAGCAGGGGAGGAGGGAAGCAGCTCCCCCCTTGGGAGATTGGGACTGGGTCTGAGCAATAAAGTTTTTTTCCTCTGGGGGTGGTGAGACCCCGGCCCAGGTTGCCCAGAGAGGGGTGGAGATGGCCCCACCCTTGGAAACATCTCAGGGCAGGATGGACGGGGCCAAGAAGGTCAATGGTCTCCTGGGGGGCATCCAAGAGTGCCGGTAGCCCTGGAAGAGGCTGCCCAGAGTGGGTGTGGAGTCTCGTTCTCTGAAGATATTCAAAACCTGCCTGGACACATTCCTGTCCAATCTGCTCCTGATTTGGGATCAGTTGGACTGGATGATCTCCAAAGGTCCTGATCACTGTATAATTCCATCACAAAGGCATTGAGTCTTCTCCAGATTTGGCAGCTGATTCGCCTGGAACTCCATTGTTTGGTGTTTGTTTTCTTGCAGGAATTCCTTACCAAACATCTTCTCTAACAATGAAGGAGCTTGTCCCAAACCTCACGTTCCCTCGATAGAACCTTCTCCTCTCCCTTGCCTGGCCTTGAGCATGTTCCTCTCTTCTCCCCTCATCCCAGCAGGAGTGAAGTTTGGCTTTGCCAGGTTCTCCTCAGGACACCTGTCCTGGGTTCAGCTGGGATGGGGTTGACTTTGGGGGCTGACAAGTCTTGGTCTTCTCCTCCTTCCAGCGAGTGTGCTGGGGGCTCACCAAAAGTTGGGACAAAACCTCTTCCTCCTCACATTCTCTCCCCCATCCCAGCTGGGGGCAGTGAACAAGGGACTGCGTAGTCCTGGCTGGGGTTAAACTGCCTCGGTGTCCCAACATGTCACCCCTCTGCCCTCCCTGGTGCCCCCCAAAAAGGGGGCTGTGGCCCCTCTGCCTGTGGCACCGCCGTCCATCCCTGATGGGGTTTGGTGGTTCCAGCACAGAGCAGGCACCAAGCTTCTGTCCTGAGGGCCAAACTGGGTAAACTGGGAGGTGACCAAGTCCTTTGGTCACCCCATTTATCTGGGCAATGTCCCAAGAGCTGGACACCATTTAACAAGGGACTAGAACCACAATCCAGCTGATAAACCCTTCACAGCTCCAGAAACAGCTCAGGTAAAGAAGGTTAAGAAGCTTAATAACAAGTTTGCCCCATTTTGGTCTTGCAGAGGCAGCACGGGGGTGAGTGTGTCCTTTCCAACCCTCAGAAAATTAAACCCGACCTGTCACCCAGGTCTCAGTCTCTCCATGGAAAATCCCATAATTCTGCTTTTTTCCACTGCAGCAGGGGATGGAAAATAAAAAGGGTGAGATCGTCTGCAAGCCCACAAGCAGAAAAGAAATGAAGGGAGGTATCATCGCGTGAAGGCAGGTGTGGAGACCATCCTGCCACCAAAACCACTCCTGAGAGCATGAGCAACCCCACCTTTAATTGCCTGGAGGCAGAGATGGGACCAAAATGAGACCAAATGGAAAGGGGAGACCCCAACAGGAAGGGGAAAAGCTCCCCCCAGGCATCACAGCACAGGGAGAGGGGACCAGTGCTGAGCAGCCTGGGGAGAGGCCAAGATAGTTTCCATGGATGCAGCAGCCCAACACCAAATATAAAAGCATTTGACTTTAAATTAATTTAATTTACTTTGAATTGCAGCCTGCGTGACTTACCAGAAAGCAGAGCTAGAACAGGAACCTCTTAGTTCCCCTGGGATTCTGTTCAGCATCCACAGAAAGTTCCCAAAGAGGAGGAGTTGAATCTTTTAGAGGAAAAAGCTGTAGAGCTGGGCTGTCTCACAGTATTTTCTACTCTATAAAGTGAATTTTTTCCACTTTTCTACAGTATAAATAGCTTATATTTTATTTCTCTCTTATTTTGTTCTTTTCATTGTTCTTTGTTCCCAGAGTCATCTCTTATTTGGATGCCAAAGCCCCTCTGGGCACCCAGGGCTGGGGAAACCGAGGCAGGGCAGAGCTGTCGGCAGCTACGTGAGGTTTCGCTGAAGGAGGATTTCAAACCATGTTTTCTCAGAAGTAAAAATAGAAATGAGTAGTTTCTTCTGCTCTTCCAGAGGCACCCAGTGCAGCAGAAATGTGTTTACAAGGGCTGTAGCCAAAAGGCAGACGTTAAACCCCTGAAATGTCCCACTGGTGACCACTGAAGAGAAATGACACAGCTCTTTGTGACAATCAGCCTCTCGCAGGCTCATTTGTGGGTTTTAATTCTCATTATCATGAAAACACATCTGTCATTAGGCTTCTGGTGCTGATTAAAGCCCAGTCTTTCCGATGACTAAAACTGCCCTTCTTGGTCTGTTCGGGTGCTTTCTTAAGGGGATATTTCTCTGTTCTCTTCTGTTTCTCTTAGACCTCATTAGGTTTGGTGAATACACTGTTCACTTTGTGCCCGGCGAGACACAAATACACATTGTGTCTGTAGATGAGCAATCATTAACCGTGGTCACTGTTAATAATCAGGCTTCTCACTTTCCCTCCTTTGGAGCCAGAGGAACTCTTTCGAGGGCAGAAGGGCTCTATGTCTTCTCATTCCTGAAGTGCCACATCTACAGGCTTCTTAAATCCCTCCAGGGATGGTGACTCCACCACCTCCCTGGGCAGGCTGTTCCAGTGCCCGACCACTCTCTCAGGAAAGTAATTCTTCCCGATATCTAATCTCAACCTCCCCTGCTCCAACTTTGGACCGTTTCCTCTGGGCCTGTCATTATTCCCTTGGGAGAAGAGGCCAACCCCCACCTCTCTACAACCCCCTTTCAGGGAGTTGTAGAGGGCCATGAGGTCTCCCCTCAGCCTCCTCTTCTCCAAACTAAACATGCCCAGTTCCCTCAGCCTCTCCTCGTAGGACTTGTTCTCCAGACCCCTCACCAGCTTGGTGGCTCTCCTCTGGACACGCTTCAGCACCTCAATGTCCTTCTTGTGGTGAGGGGCCCAGAACTGAACACAGCACTCGAGGAGAGGCCTCACCAAAGCCGAGTACAGAGGCACGATGACTTCCCTACTCCTGCTGGCCACACTGTTCCTCATCCAGGCCAGGATGCTCTTGCCCTTCTTGGCCACCTGGGCACACTGCTGGCTCATGTTAAGCCGGCTGTCCACCAACACCCCCAGGTCCTTTTCTGCCGGGCAGCTTTCCAGCCACTCTTCCCTGAGCCTGTAGCGTTGCCTGGGGTTGTTGTGACCAAAATGCAGGACCTGGCACTTGGCCTTATTAAACCTCATCCCATTGGCCCTGGCCCAATGATCCAACCTGTCCAGGTCCCTCTGTAGAGCCTTCTGACCCTCAAGCAGATCAACACTCCCACCTAATTTGGTGTCATCTGCAAACTTACTGAGGGTGCACTCAATCCCCTTCTCTAGATCATCAATAAAAATATTAAACAAGACTGGCCCCAGGACCGAGCCCTGAGGGACACCACTGGTCACGGGCCGCCAACAAGACTTCACCCCATTAATCACAACTCTCTGGGCACGGCCATCCAGCCAGTTTTTTACCCAGTGAAGAGTGCACTTGTGAATGCCAGGAGAACGCCATGGGGGTCGGTGTCAAAGGCCTTACCAAAGTCCAGGTAGACAATGTCCACAGTCTTCCCCGCATCAAGAAGGTGGGTCACATGGTCATAGAAAGAGATCAAGTTGGTTAGGCAGGACCTCCCTTTCATAAACCCATGAGCGAGAATGAGAACAAGATGGGTCAAGGTCTCACCACCCCAGCAGAAAAACATTCTTGTCCTCAGACCCAGTCCCAGTCTCAGCACATTTTATCACTTTGAGGCTTCCAGCTGTGAAACCGTGTCACTAATCACAGAATCCCGGGATGATCTGGGGTTGGAAGGGACCTCTGGAGATCCTCCAGTCCCACCCCATGCCGGAGCAGGTCCCAAGGAATGTGTCCAAGGGAATGTGTCCACCTCTCCGGGCAGCCTCTTCCAGGGCTCTACCACTGTCACAGTAAAGAAGTTCCTCCTCATGTTTAGGTGGAACTTCTTATATTCAAGTTTGTGCCCATTACCTCTTGTCCTGTCCCTGGGCACCTCTGAAAAAAAGACTGGCCCCATCCTCCTGACACCTTCCCTCTAAGTATTTATAGGTGTTGATGAGATCCCCGCTCAGCCTTCTCTTCTCCAGACTAAAAAGACCCAAGTCCCTCAGCCTCTCCTCGTAAGAGAGATGCTCCAGGCCTCTCATCATCTTTGCAGCCCTCTGCTGTGCAGTCTCCAGCAGTTCCCTGTCCTTCTGGAACTGGGGAGCCCAGAACTGGTCCCAGTGCTCCAGGTGTGGCCTCCCCAGGGCAGAGCAGAAGGAGAGGATGACCTCCCTCGAGGTTCTCCATACTCTTCTTAATGGCCCCTAGGAGACCATTGACCTTCTTGGCCACAAAGGCACGTTGGTGGCTCATAGGCAACTTGGTGTCCCCCAGGACTCCCAGTTTCTTCTCAGCAGGTCAACCCCCAACCTGTACTGGTGCCAGGGGTTGCTCTTCCCGAAGTAAAACTTCATGAGGTTCCTCTCTTCCCATCTCTCCAGCCTGGCCAGCTCTCCCTGGATGGTGCCACAGCCTCAGCTCCGTGCAGGTGAGGTGGCATCCCCTGGCTCTGCCTCCTACCAAGGGGTGGGAGGCCGAGCCCAGGCCAAAATGGGGGTGGGTTGGGGACAACCCTTTCTCAGAACAGGCAAGGCTTGGGGGATGTCGCTGAGAATGGCCATGGCTTTTACTCCAGTTTTTTCCTGGGACCTGGGATGCTGTGAAGAGGGAGGTGAAGAAAGCTTGAGAACCTCTGCCTCATCGGCATTGTCAGTGGCTGATTGATGTCTCCTCTTTAACAACAAACCTCTCCTGTGGCAGGATCCCAGGAAAGGGTTAAAAACCTCCTCTGTTCCTCAGCAACGGGGGCCTTTGTTATTTGATCTACTCCCAGTCACAAGCCTTATCTCTGTTACCTTATCTGTTCCCTGAGAAGAGCTACACACACACACACTCCCAGTTGAGCTTAACCCTCAGCTTCCTACAGTTTAACCCTCAGTTTCCTGCAGCAGAGTCTCAGGTGTCACGTTTTCTGAAGCAACTATTTAATTAGAAGGTCCAGCAGCACAAACAGTCCAGTCCAGAGGGAGCCTGAAGGAAGAAGTCCCTGGGCAATGGCACCCTTTTGGTCTCTCCACACTCTCTCAGGGGAGGACTGAGGTCTCACAAACTCGCTGCCAGCTCTCCTGAGATGAACCTGTGGGAAGGGGAGATGCGGGAGGTGACATGTCCCTGCCTGCATCAGGACTTGGGGTTGTGCAATGGGTGGGTTTCTCCTTTTGGAGGTTCACACAGAGCTTCTTTTGAGCTGTGGTGATGATTGCTGCTGTGACAACCAAGGTAACTCTGTGATTTGCCCCGTTGGGTGCAGAAGAGCATGGAGGGATAGCTCCTATGGGGAGGAGGGGACAGGATGGGGGTCCCAAAACTGACCAAGGGGGTGTTCCTCCCATCTGCCCCACGCTCAGTAGAAAAGCCAAGGGACCAAAGGGTCAGCTCTTTCTACAATGGCCGACAATCTGAGGAGGATCCTTCCTGTTCATCTGTCTTTGATCCCAATCTAGACATTCCTGACTCCAGACGGGGAATGTGGTTCCTGTCCATGGTTGAGTCCAGTCTGGGACTTCCCCAGTGTTGCTGGTGATGCCATCCTGGGACCTTGATAGAGTTTTGTATACCTTGTATATTCTAAATCAGGTTTTTTTTCATTGTAGTAGCTCCTTCTAAACTCACAGCTCGCTCTCCTCCTCCTCTCCTTGGAGTGAGAGGTGGGGGAGAGCATCTGTCATCTTGTCATGGGCCAATTTGGCCTATGTGAGAACAGACAAAACTTGAAAACATTCTTTAAACTTTGGCCTTGGAGCTGGAGTGGCTGCTTCTCAATGGGTTGAGCCCAGAAAGCCCTGGGCAGGGCAGAGGGGCCACAGAGTCAGGGGGTGAAGTGGCCCTTGTGGGGCTGCCATGAGAGCGAAAGTCTGTATCATGCTGAGGCTTATTCTCTGCTTGTATTGTATTTTCTGTTTTGTATGTTTACTAAAATATGATGTATTTCTACGTGTGTTTCTCTCTTGCTGGTGTCAGCCCTGTGCCCTCCCCTCCTCGGCACATTCCATCCTGCTTTTGGGAGCCTTGGAGGGGATGGCTTCTCCCCCACCCCAGAGTCTTCTCCCCCCACCCTGGCAGCGTGGGGTGCTGGTGGTGGGAGTGTGGGTGTCTGGAGCCCTTCCCTATTCCCTCCCTGCTTTTCCTGCCCACAGGGGCTCTTAGGGCCCCCCAAATCCTGACCCCTCAAGAAGTTGCTGCTGGAAAGTGTTTTGCCTCAATATGGGGGTGCAAAAGGGGCTCTTGGATCACACTAATGAACATGTCAACCCAGGTGGAGTTATAGATTAGGGAGGCGGAATAATGAGAATCCTTGTGTAAATGAGTAAATAATTTGTGAATGTCGCCAGTAAGGGGTGCTAGATTTGGGGATTACCTCTTAGCACCCAACATTGAATAAAGCAGTATTTTCTCTCCAAACCATTTCTGGTTCTGAGAGCTTTTGATTCAGGTAACACTTATAGCCTTTTAATTCTTTAATTTCCCATTGAGGCTGGAAAAAGAGGGCTCCTGGTGCCAAAGGCATCCTCGCCCTGCTCTTATCTGCTTTTCCAGGCAGGGAGGTATGGGGACAAGACAAAGATTTGATGGACCTTCATTTTGAACCCCTGGCTCTGCTGTATCTTCTCAAGGAACAAGCCCAGGCTCTTCCTTGACTAAAGCCCAGCACATCAGGGCTCACCCTGAGCCAGCACCAAAAGGAGCAGCCCCATTTCCAGGGGTTTCTGCCCAATTCTGACTCACCCCTTTGCACATGGAGTCAGGTTGGGACCCAGCTGCAAAGGACTCCTGCTCCTGGCTTGCGGCTGAGTTTTCCCCACCTCTATTCCCACAGGCTTGTTGGGTTTGACAGGGCAGAAAACACAGGTTTCTCATCTCTCTGTGCAGTGGGTTTTAGAGTGGAACCAGGATGACTTTTCCTTCAGATTTGATGGACCTTCATTTTGAACCCCTGGCTCTGCTGTATCTTCTCAAGGAACAAGCCCAGGCTCTTCCTTGACTAAAGCCCAGCACATCAGGGCTCACCCTGAGCCAGCACCAAAAGGAGCAGCCCCATTTCCAGGGGTTTCTGCCCAATTCTGACTCACCCCTTTGCACATGGAGTCAGGTTGGGACCCAGCTGCAAAGGACTCCTGCTCCTGGCTTGCGGCTGAGTTTTCCCCACCTCTATTCCCACAGGCTTGTTGGGTTTGACAGGGCAGAAAACACAGGTTTCTCATCTCTCTGTGCAGTGGGTTTTAGAGTGGAACCAGGATGACTTTTCCTTCCTCCAGTTCCCTTAAGCAACTCCCAAAGAAAACCCTGCAGGAAATAAAAAAACCCAAGATAAAAAGCACACAACCAAGGTGGAAAAAACTTAGAATTGCACTTTTAATTTTATCTTCTCATCCGGGCAAGTTTGCAGCCACCCTGTAACAGCCATTTAGTGATTAAACAGTGATTAAAAGAGCAAAATAGAGTTGAAGACACAGAAATGCTCTCATTTTGCACAGAAGGAAAGGAACCTGAACACCGCTCCCCTTTCCTGTCCCTTTGGTGGGATTGGGACAAAACCCAGCCCCTGGTTTCTTTCCCAAGGGAAAGTTGATAGTTTTGGGGGCTGGGTTTTTGTCCTGTGCTTTAGGGAAGAAGTTTGAGTTGAGCCTCCCAGATCACCATGAACCATGGGAAGACTCTCTCCCCTTGGAAAGATGCCAGTGGAAAAGCAAAGATCCGTTCTTTGCTCTCGGCACCAAAAAAACAGCACCCTCCCTTTCTCATGGTCCAAGCAGATTCGTATCAGCTTCAGGACACTGCGTAGAGTCAAGGGGGTGAAAGCAGGAGAGGTCAGAGCCTCGTAGCCATTTTGGTAATGACCCAGAGTCCATAGCCCCTCACTGTGCTTTGGCCACAGCCAACGGTCCCTTGGAACCGACTCCTTGGCCACCCCGATGGCCCATGCACATTCTCTATGGAACTCCACGTTCCAGCGGTGTCACCCTGATGTGAAGCCCCTTGAGCCCAGCACACAGGGATGGACTGTGAACCTCCCTGGGTTGAAGTGTAAGTGCTGCTGATGCAATTCCCACCACACGAGCTTGCAGTCTTCCAAGAGATAAAGCCCGGCATTGGCTGTCTCTGGGTCCAGCGTCATCTGTGCTGGAGGTGAAGAGAGAGAGTCAGACTCATAGCAGCAGATTTGGGAGGAAACAGGGATTTTTTTTCTCTCCCTTCCCGTCCCTCTGATCCAGTTGGGACCCCTCCAGGCATCACCTGGTGGTAGGACGAGGGTGGGAGAAGGGAGGAAGGAGGCAGCAGAGCACTGTAGGTCAATCTTTGGGGGCAGCAGAGCTTCTTTTACCATATTTTTGATTTCATACAATGGCTTGGTTTGGCACACTTTCGGTTCACTTACTTGTCAAAGGACCTTCGAACTCCAAGAAATCTAGAGGGAAAAGAGAAAACTGTGAGAGGCAGGAAGATCAGTTGGGTCAGATTGTGGGTTTCTGCAAAAGTCCCGAGAGTCAGGAACAGGCTTGGGGGAAGGTCAAGAAACTTGAGGAGGCAGAGGAGAAGAGGAGGAGGACAGGCAGGGAACATCACACCAACACTCACTGCTCATTCTCTGTCTCCTTGTGGGAGCTTGAAAGAAATAACCCCTCATTCAGCACCCAGGATGCCTTTCTTTCCCCTGGCTTCACTCCATCCCTCCCCACCAAGAAGCACGATGGCATTGCCCTTTCTGGACCTGTCCTCGGTACCTGGAACTTTCTCCAGAAGTTCCTTGATGTCTGGGTTCTTCTTGGTGAAGTCAGAGAATTTCTTCTCCAGCTGCGGGGAAATCTGGAGTGAGTGGGAGAGCGTTTCCCTCTGGCCCCTGGAAGGGAAGAGGGGATGGATTTACACCTGGTTGGAGTTTGCTGCTCCGTGTTTTCTCAGCACTCCCTGCTCCTGCCTCCTGCCAGCCTGTGTCCATATTCATCATTAATTCAGGAGAGAGAGGCAGAGCCCTCCTTCCAACCCCCTGTGGCTTTGGTCAGGTCCAAGGGCTGTACCGCAGAAGAGCCAACCCGTCCCCAAGTACTTTCTCCCCGTGTCCTGCCACAGAGCTGCTCTGTGGTGGTGACATGGTGACAGGAGAAGGACGACAGACCTGCTCAAGGTGGTTCCAATGTCCTGGAGGAGAGAGAAGAAAACACTCAGTGAGATGGAACACCTCCCCTTGGAGTACCGGGGTCCCACTCTGAGGAAGTCCCTCTTGGAGCAGGTTGGGGGAGACAAGTGAGGGCTGGAGACCAAGCTCAAGGTGGGCCTTCCCAGCCAGGTTGGAAAGCCTGGGCTCTCACCTTCAGGAGCTGCCAGTCTGGCTGCTGGAACGTCCTCTCCATCTCCCCAATCAGCGTGCCCAGCCTCCTTGTCTCCTCCAAAAGCCTCTGGAGGATTTCTTCATGGGTTTTCCTTATCTCTGTGTCCAGCTGCTCCAGCTGGGCCAGAAGAGAGGACTCCTCCTTGTCCAGGAACTCATGCATCTTCCTATATGTCCTCACAACCTTCTGCTTTGCAGCTTCTGTCCGTTCCTGCCAAGGGCAAGACCAAGTGGGGAAAGGGGAGCAGAGAGCAGGAGAAGAGCCTCAAGGGTCAAGGGTGGGCCATGCCTTCGTGGGAGCCACCAAGAAGAGGCATTTGGGGAAGATACAAACCCCCTCTCCCTTCCCCACATTCCTTCAGCATCACCCAACCCTTGGCAAGCGGAGCAGGAGATGTTCCTCCTTTCTTCCCCCACCCTCTGCCCAGGAAAACTGATGGGCACCTACAGTGTGGTCCTTGAGTCTGTCTTCTCTGTCCTTCATGGAAGATTGAATTGCCTTGTGCTCTGATTTCAGATGGTGCAGTTGGGTCTGAATTTGTATCTAAAAAGAAAGAAAGACGTTCCTTGTGGAATGGTCTTTTTTCAGTAGTGCCCAGTGACAGGATGTCCTGGTTTGAGGTAGAACATAACTGGTTTTCTGTTCAGTAGTTTTACTTCTCTAGCTGGGCCTCTTTTAACTGACTGAACTCTGAAATTGACAGCATATTGTTCAGAAACTGTTCACTCTCATAGTGCTAAGACCTGATTATACCAATTAATGGTGTGCAGAGAGGCCCCTGCTTATACTTATTGCTATAGCAACCAAGGTCAGGCAAATTTGTTATTTGCCCCGTTGGAGGGTCGGAAGCGGAAAAGCGTAGAGGGGTCCCACCTGTGGGGAGGAGGGGACAGGAGAGGTGACCCAAACCTGACCAGCAGGGTATTCCATCCCCTCCACATCATCTTCAGAATAAAAGCTGAGGGATCAAAGGGTCAGCTCTCTTCCTTCAATGGCCGACGTCCAAGGAGGACCCTGTCTGTTCGTCTGCCTTTGATCCCGATCCGAGCGTTCCTGACTCCAGATCCGGAATCGGGCTCCTGTCCATCACTGAGTCCAGCCTGGGACTCTCCCCTGCGCCTGCTGGTGACATGATTGTCATCCTGGGAGCTTGATACAGTTTTGTATATACTGTATACATTTTTATTTTATTTTGCTTTTTTTTCTTTTCTTTTTTTTTTCTTATTTCATTATTTATTTTTATTTTCATTAAAGTAGTTTAATCTTTTTCTAAACTCATCTTTTTTTTTTATCCCCCTCTTCCTCTCCTCTCTTTTCCTTAGCAGGGGGAGGGAGGGGGCCATCTGTCATTCTGGTTGGTCAATTCGGTCAAAACCACGACAGTGGAATATTAAAAATAAAATTAAAAGGGAAATAATGAAATAAATACAATCTGTACAAAACCATATCAAGCTCCCAGGATGACATCACTGGCATGGAATTGGGGAAGTCCCAGACTGGACTTAGTGATGGGTGGGGTCTGGATTCCAGCTCTGGGGTCAGGAAGACATGGATCACATCAAAGGTAAATGACCAGACAAGGTCCTCCTTGGATGTTGGCCATTGGAGAAAAAGCTGACTCTTTGATCCCTCAGCTTTTATAGTGAACGTGGATGGGATGGAGCACCCCCTGGGTCAGTTTGGGGCCCCCCCATTCTGTCCCCCCCTTCCCCGGCTGAGGCTGAGCTGAGAAGTGGAAATACTAAATGGAAAGTTGGTTCTGTTTTACCTCAGACTGGGACAGGGGCTCACCCTGGTTCCCCTCCCTACATCTGGGTATGACCCCAGGGACCCCCCTGGAGCTGGGTATGACCCCCCCCGGTATCTACTCCTATGGGAGCTATGGAAACATTCCCACCCTGCACCAGCCTGCACTCCTTATTTTGGGCATGGGCTCCCCATGCATAAGGTGGGACCGTGGGGACAGCAAGGGACATGTCCTCCCCAGGGATGGGAGGTCCCCAAGGTGACAGGGCACAGCTGGGGTGTCCCCACACTTCAAGGCCCCCCCAGATCCCATCTTGTCCCTGGCTCCCCACAAGCTCCTGGCTGTTGTAGGGTGCAATGACACTGCTGGGCTCCTCCGCCATGTCCAAAAATCTCAACCGAGCTCTCCATTCTACATGATCCCCTGCCCCCCAAAACCCTAAGATCCTTCATGTTCATTCTTTTTCTCCCTCTTTTTTTTTGGTTCCTGGGTCCGATGGGCTGCTGAGTTTTCTCCTGAATAGACAAATGTCCTGAAACAGCAATAAAAACCTGAGCTCACTACGTAGGAAGTGGACCCTTAAATTCTGGACCCTGAACCCTGGAACCGGGCAAAGGTTGGAAATGTTGGGTGTAGCTCCCACACCTTGGGTGAGTGAATTTCTTTTCCAAAGGGGATTTAGAATATTTAAATAATTTAAAGTCTTAGGAAGAGATTCAGAGTAAATCCTGGGGAGGGCAGTGGGGCAGAGCAGGGGCTGCACTGGGAGCAGCACATGGTCCCAGTCTTGCCCTTTACCAAGGGTTCCTTCCGACGTCAGGGTGCAGGTGGTTTGGTGGGATTTCTGGAGCAGCAATGGGGGCAGGTGCAGCCGTTCTTCCCCATCCCCTCTGTGGCGGCTGTAACCCCCCCCTTGCCCTCCCTCTGCCTCCCTTCCCACCCTCTTCTCCAGCTCCGGCCACAGATGGGGTTCCCCACGAGCCCATGGGGCTTCCTCAGACATTTCCTGACTCTCCACCTCCTCCAGCTGGGATCAGGTAGGGATCCTACAGGGCTGGGAGGGCTGAGCGTGCTCCGGGTGGCCGATGTGGGGCAGGGGAGGTGCTGTGGGGCAGGAGGAACTGAGCCCAGAGCTCAGCCATGCATTGCTTTCACATTCCCTTGGTCTTGTGATGCCACACGTCCATTGCTCTGGGACACGTTCAGTCCTGCCCTGCGGTGCTCTCCTAAAGCCTTTGTCCTTTCTGCTCGGGCTGGCTGGGGTGGGGGTCCGTTCTGGGTCTGGCAGGGATAGGGTTAATTCTGCCCAGGACCTAGCAGGGACACAGGTATTTCATCCCATGTGGGCTATGCCCAAGGGGTAGCCGGGGAAGGGGGAGGGACAGGAAGTAGA